ATGCAGTTCACAAAAAGTCCCAACTACTTAATGTATACATCGTGCCTACATTGTGCAGTGGATTTGCGTGATAGAGTCTTGTCATGAACTTTAGTTGCCAGCATAAGCTGGAACCGACGTTTCAGATGTTAGCACTCGTACTAGCAGCAGCTCTCCTCTTTAGTCCAGCTATATGTCAGGAAACAAAGACAACATGCTACTGCATCAAACCTGACAACGATACAAGTAAGAGTGAGTGTTTTCCACTTTCTCACTATGTAGGTGATCACACTGTGATACACAATGACAGCTACTTTTGTTTTCTGCCTGGGGAGTACTACCTCGATGGTGTGTGGCAAATACTGCCAAACAGCACTCTCTATAACATTAGCCTTGTGGCATCTTGTAGTAATGTATCCAAGCACAAGGCAGTAGCATCTGTAAGGTGCATTGGAAATCATTCAGGAATAGTTGTGAAGAATGTAGCTGGCCTTACGATTGCGGGTCTGAGCTTTACGAGCTGCGGACACATTTTCAAAGTAGTGGAGACTATTTCTAGTTCACTGCTGCTGATATTTGTAGAAGACTTGAGCATGTCTGGAGTTGAGATCCATGACTCAAATGGCTGGGGAATGTACTGTTTCTCGCTCCTTGGAAACTCGACCATTACTTACACTCTGATAAGTAGTGGGCATTACATTACAAATCACAGTGGAGGGAATCTTCGTTTCAAGTATGTAGGCGATTGTGTTTACAGCCACGTCAGCAGTATCTCAATATCAGACTCTATTATTGAAAATGGGGCCGAAAACTGCACTGACAGCAATGCGTATGCTGGTGGCATCGATATATATTTTATAACAAGGAATAGGATTAATATGTATTTCAATAATGTAACATTCCACAACAATAGCGGGTATGATGGTGGTAACGTTGCAGTATCGTATTCAACACTGGGGGATGGATGGAACAGTACACTGACTTTCACCAAGTGCACTATTTCAGCCGGATATGCAGCACATGATGGCGGAGGATTGTATATGGAGGTGATAAAAAAGAAGAAAGTTTCCCGTCTTCCAGCTCTTCCAGTGGAAGTACCTAATTCAGTGATATTGACCGTGGTTGAAACAAACTTTACCAGCAATTATGCGAAATCCGAAGGTGCTGGTTTGTTTTTGCAAATCCACGAGGACCAGGATCTAACAATAACAGCAGAATTACACTTTTTTTCTTGTGAGTTTGCAAACAATAATATTGCCAAAAGCTCTCAAAGTGGAACAGCTGTACACATTGTTAACATCAACCTCCCTGAATCAGTCCCACACAGAGTTCCCCAGTATTACATATCTTTTGATGAGTGTTCCTTTGAGGATAATGGCGAACAAAATCAGGATACTGAGAACTTGCTTGGCTGTGGCACAATGTATGTCGCAGAAAATGCTATTACTGTAATAAAGAATTCAAGGATCCTAAACAATAACTGCAGTGGGATAGTGGCAGTTCAGAGCTCCGTATTAATGAATGGCAGCATTCTAATAGCAGATAATGTTGGCTACAATGGGGCAGGTATCATGCTCTGTGCCAATTCAAAGCTATTTGTGACAAAAGAAGCAAATATTACCATACAAGAAAACCACGCGTTTAATTTTGGAGGAGGAATCTACGCAGAGTTTCAGTGCTCACAAGCAGTTCCTCCTTGCTTTTATGGAACTGAGGATAATGATACACTAGTTTACCTGGTGAACAATAATGCAAGTAGAGCTGGAGATGCTCTGTACGGTGGCTCAGTTGACAGTTGTTACACTAGTCCAAATTCCTTTCTTGTGGATGGAAAAAGCAGGTATCATTTGACACTTTGTTCGAAATCACTCAGTTTAATCCCACCAAATCAAAAATAACCTCTGACCCTTACAAAGTTAGCTTGTGCAACAATTCATATTATAATCAAAGTAACTGCGTAACAACATGTAATTATAGTGACAGTGCGCTGTATCCTGGAATGGTAATTCATGTCTATGTGGTGCTTGTGGGACAGCGAAATGGAACAGTTCCTGGAGTAGTTAAAGCTTCTTTTGAAAACAATAAGAATATCAATTCGTCTCAAGAAACTCAGTTAGTAAAGTCGACTGAAAGCTGCACAAAACTTGAGTATGATATCATTTCACAGCATCAAAGTGACCAACACTACAATGACAAACTCTACTTGTCGGTTGAAAATGCATATTATCGGACACGCAGTTCAAACCAGCTTTTTCACTCTACTGTTAACCTCAGCATCAGTCGATGTCCACTTGGCTTTAGCCTGTCTAATAACAGGTGCACTTGCTCAAATGTGTTAAGGCAAAACCTAAAACGTATTGTCTGTAACATAGAAAATCAGACAGCAACACGAGATGTAAATGTGGATTGGTGGTTGGGCTTTCAGGATGGAATGGTGATCTACAGCACATTTTGTCCATTTGACTTCTGTCAAAACTTGAGGAAAGTAAGTATAAGCTTTAAAAATGGTTCTGATCACGATAAACAGTGTGCCTTTGATAGATCGGGGAAACTCTGTGGAGCTTGCCCTACTAATCACAGCAATATCTTTGGATCCTCATGGTGCTGGGATTGTCGATCTCATTCTCCTCTCAAGACATTCGCTCTGACTGTTCTCATTGGATTTGCTGGAATACTGCTGTTAGTGTGTTTGGGAATCTTGAATTTAAATGTCACGGAAGGACCACTAAATCCGATTATTTTCTACATGAACGTCATTAGATTGAATGACAGCGTATTTTTTGGCTACGGTGGAAATAGAGTACACTATTTACTCCGAGTCTTTGTTGCATGGGTGAATTTGGACCTTGGAAAAGACACCTGTTACTACAATGGAATGGGGGCAATAGGAAGATCATCACTGCAGTTCGTTTTTCCATTTTATCTGTGGTTCCTCTGTGGACTGTTCATTTACCTGAGTCGTCATTCCTCACTTTTGTCCAGAATAACTGGTAAAAGAAGTGTTAAACTACTAGCAACAGTGATACTTCTGTCTTACACTAAAATCCTTAAGACAGTCATTGACATAGTTTGGCCTTCAACCATCTCTGAAATCAAAGACAATCATGTAGTACACCATCAAACCGTGTGGCAAATGGATGGAACATTTTACTATTTTCACCATCATCACAGGATCTTGTTCATTTTTGCTGCTATAGTTGCTGTTGGTACTCTTCCATACACCCTGTCATTGTTCTTCATCCAATGTCTGAATAAGATGTCACACTACAAAATTTTGTTCTGGGTGGTAAAGTTGAAACCTTTCTTTGACGCCTACACCGGACCGTACAAGGATAACTATCATTTCTGGACTGGATTTCTTCTAGTAGTGAGATTCTTTCTCTTCATCGCCATTGCCTGCAACACGGCAAAAGGCCCGATGCTGAACCTGACACTGGTTTGTAGTATTGCAGCTGCCCTCTTAATACTGAGTCAATGTGGGGTATACAAAGTGCGGATTCTCTGCTTCTTAGAGTCCTTTGTGTATTTCAACCTCATCCTGTTTTCAATTGGAACAGCATACGTAATTCAGGAGAAATCAGCGACCAAAGCCTTTTACTACAGCAATAATAAGGCAGTACTTGTCTGCGTTGGCTCCATGTTCCTACTCTTCTGTGGAATAGTTGCATACAATATTAAAACGATACTTATACAAACGCGATGTTGGAGAAACCTGAAGGTTTGGCTACTGGAGAGGCAATGTGTGCGGAGAAAGAAAACGCCAATCAAGTCTCTAGTACTGCAACACTCTGTATATGACAGTAGCAGCAGCAGTGGGGACGATGAGATGGATCCGATACTGGAGAATGCTCCACCTGTTGCTCGGTACGACCAGTTTAGAGAGCCATTGGTTGAGACAAACTGAATTACTAGCCACCTGCCTGACTGCAATATAATTATAATGTGTGTTTTTGCTGCACGGTGATTTTCTACTATAATTATGTAGTTTATCAAAAAGTGTGTTGGATTTTTATGCACATGTGAAAAACTTGTGTAATGGTCAAAATTGAATGGACAAGGTGCACACAAGGTAGCTTCTAACTCTGTTGGCCTGTTCATATTACTTGACTTAACATTGCAACCGCAGGATAGTATTTCCCCAACTGGAATCGGTGATTTGGAACAGGCTCTGCCAGATTCGATTCCTCCCGTAAAAGTAGGGCATAGGTTCCACAGAAAAGTTGGTGAGAACAGCGAATAGGGAGAATAGCTGTGTACAATGTCATTGTATAATTATACTTCTATGAGAAATGACTCCTATGAGTATATGAATATACTATAATTATGAGTATACGTATATATGAAATGAATAAGCTGTCGTTTCAAAGAGGCAGCTGACTCTAATGAATTATTACTGAGATTGTCAGTCCACAGACTAAAGTTAGTGCAAGAGAAACGTGGGACATCGTGTGGTCGACCACGGGAAGGAGCGTTACTCTGTCCCGTTCTTTGCTGAACCAAACTACAATGGCGACCTTGGCGGCCGATTTGAGAGAGCTCAGTGGAACAACACGTAACGAAGGAGAACCAGCCCACTATGGGCCCTGGGTGGACATGAGAGCAAAAGCGAAGAACTTCTCGGATATTCCTGTTGGTAGCCTAGGTAGCTATAATTGAATTTTAAGCCATTGGGTTTTTGTATAGGATGTGACACTGAGTTTTTTTTGACACTGCGGAGAATTTGTCTATCACAGGTTTAACGTGCACAGTTCGATTCTGTAGTTACAAATGTACACTGTGTTAAACAACTGTGACGACTAAACCCTCTGCGAACCGCGCGCGTACGCGCGCTACTTACCGCTAATTGATGGGCTGGGTTATTAGTAGGCGTTTTACTCCGCTCTGGCGGTCTCTCGCTAGTAGCCCGCTAGCAACAGTAGTAGATAGCATGCAGGTGTCGATATACGCCTTCGTTGAGACTTCTTGTGACTCCAAGGTATATACACAGAGCAAGCGTTGGTGGCGTAATACTGTGTTGAATTCCCAGTCTATCCATTCATTCCTCCTCTTCTGTCCAGTCTGAACTCCCATCTTTCCCTGCCTAAAATTACAGTTTGGCTGTGCCCAGCAAATAAAAATCTGGCATTGAGAAATCTGAGGTGTTTTCCATCAATCTTGGAATTTTACTCAACAATACGGAATCAATAATCATAGTTCAAAGTGGTCTGCAAACGCTGAAGTGTATGTACTCTGTACACATTGAATCACCGCATCTGTAGAAGTGAACAAAACAAACAATACTACAACGAATGCCACGCACCACACAATAACACACTCTCACTACCCAAGTGACTATGTGTATCTACCCTGTCTGGATCAATATTGCATAGCAAATCACTGAAACACGTAAATATACATACTACACCACACTTGAAATACATACGTCTGTAGGTTCACTAGACCCCCCACCCCATCGTTTGAACCACAAACTATGCCCTTCGTCATTAAACACCCACACAAGGGAACAGTTAATAAAGCACGCATTCTTTTGACAGGGGAGAATTCATCCTATATGATGTATCTTGAGACATGCTTCAGTATACCCACCTTTAGGAACCCAATCTCAGCAGCATTCTCTCGGAAACACTGCCGGCACATGTGGAGCCCATACTTCCTGATGAGACCGTGCCTGTTAGCACACACACGACTGGGGAAAGAGAGCAGCTTTACTTTGTTGCCCATCCAAGGCTACTCCGGGTAAAGATAGCATTACCATTGTCGTGATCCTGGACCGTACTTTCTAGGATGACTGTACCACACGTTTTGATGACCCATCACGGCTACCTGAGACGAGAACTGAGACCGTCGGTTCACACAAGAAAAACGGCGTGGTCGATAAGCACAACGCATGCGCAATACGGGTATCTTTTGGGGGCGGGGCCGGGAACAAAAGCTTGCTGGGTTTGGCTGGTTCATCCACCTTTCACCATGTCTGCACGCGAAGGGAACAATAAGGGCCGAGGCAGTAACAGGCCGGCAACCAGCCTCATGGAGGTGAGAACTGCAGCTGGCAGGCAAGATCTCCAGAGACTTATGGTGCCCTATCTGTATAGACCATATGCAACAAGAATTTGAGAGAAGCCTACAATTCGTGGGTCCGGTGGCTTGAGGACGAGAGCGTGCCCAGCTCTGCTAAGTGCGCGGAGCTGCAGGCGCAGGATGACCAAGGCTGGTGTCCTCTCCACTATGCTGCCAGATACTATTGCTCAGACCTTTTGGCTGCAGCCTTGGATGTTGAGGAAGGTGAGCCTGTACAATGCTGTTTTTCTGTATGAAATGTGTGCAATTGTACCCATACATGAGGGGAAATCTGGTTGTTTTGGGACAAGAGTTTGTGCACTTCCCCCTAAAATTATACACAACCTTCCTCTGGAATTTTCTGTTGAGAGCTCAATAGTTAAGGTGTGGCTAGTTCTGCTGTGTGTGACTGCAGTTGACTTCGATGTGAGGACCAGGGACACAGCCCTCACTCCTCTCCTGGTGGCCGCCTCCTACAACCGTAAGAATGCAGTCCTGTGGCTGCTCCAGGACGGACGGGACAGGATCAATCCCGATGCCACCAACAGTGAGGGAAAGAACGCAGTCCACTTGGCCTGTTTGGACCTCCAGTGCCAGTACACCATCGAGGTCAGCCAAAATATTGTCTGAGGAAGGTTTAGTGTCTAAACCTTCCTTGTGGTTTCCACTGTACTCCATGTATATAGGGCTATGCACTTTCATTATTCCCACTGAGAAACCAATTTCTTTGTTCTAATTTGTGCGAGAGACTACAAGTGTACAGTGGAAGGGACCTCCGAAGAGGTTGTCCCTAGTCAAATAAAACCCTAAAGTATTTTATTAACATGGGTTTTAAACAAGTGTCGTTTGAAGAGAGGTTGTCATTTTTCATTGTTTGTTAGCTGTTGAACCACAAATAATTGTCGCTTGAAAATTTCCACATGGATATTCAACTGGGCTATTAGAAATGTTCCCTGAATGCAGCCATTGGTTCGACAGCTGGAGCACCTGTGCCTGGAGAAGGACAAGGACGGAAATACTCCTCTTCACCTGGCAGCCAGTCTGGGGAACCTGCAGGCGATGGAGAGTGGGCTTTTGAACTCTGAGATCTGGGACGAAGGAGCCGCCTCTGATGTTGAGGAGGAGGAAGGAGGGAGTGAGGGTGGGAGTAAGGAGGAGCAAGAGGAGGAGGAGGGTGGGAGTGATGGAGGGAGTGAGGAGGAAAAGGAGGAGGAGGAGGAGGGTGGAGAGGAGGAGGGTGGGAGTGGGGGAGAGGGGGGAGGGAGTGGTGGTGGTGGTGAGGAGAAGGAAGCGGATGAAGAGACAGGAGATGGAGGGAGTGGTAAACGAGAGCCACCAACAAAGGGTGTGGAGAAGGCAGGTGAAGAGGAGGAGGATACAGAAGAAGCTAGTACAGATGAATGGGTCGTGGTGAGTTTTAAACACCTTTTGGCTTTACAATCACATTGGGTGCACCATTCCTCATCACTCTGCAAAAAGGCCAGGCTTTGCCCTTTGTGTTAAGTTCCACGTACATTCACATCGAATTGTGTTCAAACTGTAGTGGAATTCTATTCTTACGTGTTTGTAGATTGCTCAGCTGAAGAAGATGCTGAAGGAGAGGAACTACCAGGGAAGGACTCCCCTGCACATGGCCGTGGAGAATGGAAGACTAGAGTGAGTCTTCAGCCAATATCACTGGACTTTGCACTCCGTTTTCGACACCGGTACATCGTTGTTTGCATAAAGGGATATTCTGAGATCCCCTTTCTCAACACATTTGAAGGTGTTCGAGAATATAGTTATGTCGTAGACTCATAGTACAATAAATTAGGAATGCTACCAGTAACACTGAAACTTTAATATGGCCCATCAAACAGATGTGCAACAAAATCCGCTGGACTGTGAGCCAGCCATACGTAAAGAGGCTGCAGGGAGGTTGTTGTTATGTTTCCCTTGCAGGGCTGCTAGTCGGTTGATCAGCCTGTGGCCCAAGGTTATCCTGGAGGTTGATAATGAAGGGGACTTACCCATCCACCAGGCATGTCGGCAGGGCAACAGAGATCTGGTGGCAGTTCTACTGCAGCAGGAGATATCTCAGAAGGACATCAAGCTCATCCAGCTAGCCCGCCTCTCCCTCGACCTCAAATACTGGTCTGTTTCTTAGTATATTATCTGTATGACGTGTTTCACTAGTGTGTGTGGCCCAAAGAAACATCCTCTTTAGCAGGACAATGTAGATCTCTGGACAGCTTTTTCGGCTTGTTACCCATCATCCAGAGCCTCCTTTCAGGAGTGTATTGACAGTAGCGCAGCATGTATGTCTCAACCTTGGTAGCGAGGTAGAAAGGCAAGGCAAGCAAGTCTACTTTGATATTCAGCATGGTGTGGCACACAAGCATGTGTGCACATATACCAATTGTGTTATTCATGGATGGTTGACTATAGCTGTACTATGTACACGTACGTTCATGCATACAATTAGAGGTTTACTTGTATGCATGTTTCTTAGGGGTGCGTCCCCCTTGGCTCAGTTTTACCCCTTCTTGAATGATACAAGTGGTATTCCTCTGAGGGAAACACTGCATTCTTTATTTGCAATATATCACCCCTTGCCCCCCTTAAGTAAATGTTTGGCTAGAGAGTGCCCAGACCCCACTAGAAGTGCTTAGCAATCCCAGAACTGCCCCCCCCCCCTTTTAAAATGACTCTTTTGCCCCTCTTTCAGCAAAACAATGCTAGTTGTTTAACTTTGCTATTGGATTTTCATAAACACTTTCTCTTTCAGCAATAAGCATGGGGAGACCCCTATTCATTGTGCTGCCTACAATGATCTGGACAGTGGAGCTCTGTTGGAGCTACTGATGCAGACATGTACTGACGACATAAGGCAACAGACACTGCAACTGAGGAATGCTGACCAGGTATTCACATGTACATGCATGCAACAGAAATTACGGTGTCAGTCTAATGTTCCTCAGGCACATTGTGTGCCTGTGTCAACACAGTGGTGGCCTGTAAACTCCGGCAGGTCTGACAAGTGCCTACTTTTCGTACTCGTACAGGTCGCCCTACCATTTTTACAGCACGGATAAACATTTCCACTATGCATACTTGCTGTATAGTGTGCATACGTAATAAAGAAGAGAGTTTTAGCTATCAGAATTTCAGATTCCTCAAGAAGTAATCTGATGAGCCGAAATGTGACTTTCTTTTGGAGATGGTTGTAGTAGTGCTCTCTCTCTCTCTCTCTCCACCTCCAGTACACTCCACTGATGTTGGCCACCACCCACGGGAAGCCAGAGGTGGTAAAAGTTCTCCTGAGACATGGCTCACAGGCCACCCAGAGGATGGACGTCCTGGGAGAGAACCTCAACTGTCTCGAGGCCGCCATCGAGAAAGGAAAGAGGTACGAAAGTCATTGAGTTTCCCATGCACCGGTAGTAGTGTGTTTTACTTGGGTGATTATCTTTTCAGAAACACAAACTATTGAAGTCGAGACACTCTTTTATACAGTTCACAGAAAAATATTATCATCATCAACCTTCAAACTTTCAATCTACCTATAATATCAGCTTGTATTTCCAGTTTAATAGCAAGGAAAATGTGTTGCTCTCAGGCAAAAAACAATGCGTGTATAGGCAATACTACATGTAGGACCAGCTCAATGTATTCCAATATTGTAATCTGGTGCAGTGAGGTGGCAAGGGTGATAGTGGAGCATGAGGGATGGGATGACTGTCTGAGGGCCTGCACCACCCTCAATGGAGTGGAGAACACTCCCTTCAGGAGGATGATTAGAAAAATGCCTGGTAATAAAATGTTACATCGCAAATAGTAGTTACGTACCAAGGGATATCCAACAGTTGTTGTTGTTGCTGCATTGTTTACCATACTAACAGGAAAACCTTCAAGGAGACAATGGCTTACCAACCAAACTATGTCTCCATCAAACCTTGTCGTATTTAAAATAGGCCTTTGTTTGCGTATGATTTTTTGCGGCAAACCTTTTCTGGCAAATTTTGCTGGGACCACTTCAGTTGCTGTTGCTTACGCACACAAATAAATATTGTGGACAAAACCTTCACTGGTCTTGGAGTTTGCGAACATTATTCGTCCTTCAGCAACTTAACAGTTACGTCTATTACAACTGCAGATCTGGCGGGGACAGTACTGACCAAGTGTGTGACACCAGAGGGCAACGTCCGCAGCGACAGCTTCCAGCTCCAGCTCAACTTTGAGTTTGTGCAGGACATGGAGGAGTCTCGCCGCCTGTCCAAGGCACGCTCTCTCTCTGCCGCCATGAAGACTGCCAGCTCCAGTCTCCTCGACCCTAAAGAAAGGTGTGTACATCATCACACATTCATGCTCAATAAAAACGTACAAAAAAGGACAAGGAAAGTTGCACCAATGTGGTTGAGTGGTGTGTACACAGCAGGCTTTAACCAAATCTAAATCCAAAATTTGTGAGAGTTGTTTGCTGCAAAAACTTTTTGGTGGCCATAGCTGATGCCCGTTATGCTCATAGTGTGTGTTGATTGGTGAATTTGTGTTTTTCTGCGTCTCTTTTCAGCACACGATGGCCTCCTAATGTTTACAGAAAGGACAACCATGTTTTGGCAATTATGGTACGTTGATTCAGGGTTTTCTCATTTAAACAGGTAGCTAAGCACAATGTAGTCCAGTGTACTTAAGTCTTCAGAGTGTTTCTTCTTCCCATCTCAGACTGTTAGCCTAGTCATATGTACCGCATTATCAAAGGAAGCATAATTATGTGTCCATGTACATATACAGAATGTCAGTGAAACTTTTGTATTGTCTGCAGGCAGAGCACAAGTGTGAGGGTCTGTTGCAGCATCCTCTGGTGGTGACGATGCTCAATGAGAAATGGTTCCAGTTTGGAGCTCAGCTCTATGTCTGGAACCTCCTGCTCTATGTGCTCCAGGTCCTCTTCCTCACGGCCTTCTCCCTCTCCCTCCCACACCCCCTCAGCTCCTCCTGTAAGCTTTATTTACCACCCTTGTATACATGTCTCAACAACTTGGTAACGAGGTAGAAAGGCAAGGCAAACAAGTCAACTACACCCTAGACAGCCCTTTCTTTGAAGAAGAGCTGTCCTGGGTGGGATTCGAACCCACGACACTCTGCAGTCTAGGCGAGCCCTCTACCAACTGAGCTACCAGGGCAACTCAGCTGGTAGGGGTTCAAATCTACAACACAACACAAGGCGAACTGTGCTATAATGGCGCAGTATACTCTCACTCAGCAACAGCTGAGACTGTGGGAATAGTGTATATATCCTGGCTGGGTTCCTGTGTGTGGGTATAGTGTATAATTGTAGTGTATTAGTGTATCATGTACACCTTCATGTACACCTTCATACACACCTCATATGTGTGCATTTCGTGGCATTGTAACTGATAGCGAAGTGTGTTGCTATGACAGTGTTTACAGCGTGTAAGCTTGAACAATTATTTGTCTTTGCAGGCAGTAAACATTTGCTGTGGAGTCAAGGTATGCTGTATATGTATACTCTTTTGGCAATTGGTCGGTTGTCTGTATAAATTTACGGGACTTGGATTGAGGGAGCTGTAACTGTGTACGATACGAACATTGTATGTATGTCTCACTATAATACACTATACCCACAGGAACCCAGCCAGGATACACTATTCCCACAGTCTCAGCTGTTGCGGCCATTCTGCTGGGCTGTGTTGACCTCCTGAGGAGGTTCAACCAATTCCTCCAGCCCTACCGCCACGAGGGGCAGCTACAGTGGTACCTAAACTGGGGCTTCTGGCGAGACTGGAGGACCTACCTCAACATCCAGATACCCATGCTCCTCTCCACTCTCCTCTTCACCAGTGCCGTCCTGGAGGAGTGTCTGTGTGCAGCCAAGTGGCAGTGGAGGGTGGGGACCATGACGGTATTTGTGGCCTGGATACGGCTGTTCTTTGAGCTCCACCAGGTCCCCATGGTAGGTCTCTACGTGGAGATGCTCCAGAAGATACTCTACCAGTTTATCAACGTGTCCCTGGTGGCCGTCGTCCTCGTGTTCTCATTCGGGATTCCCTTCTACATGGCTTTCCATGACCCCACAGTTGAGGTAGTGTTCACAATACATGTAGTATAGCTAAAGTTGTACACACATTAGCTCCCTATGCAGTACAGATCCTTAGGTCAGTTTTTTGTTGTTGGAAAGTGAAGCAGGCCTACTGAGTATCTGACCTGCACGATATCTACATCTGTGTATACGTATGTATGTCAGCCATACTACACGTAATGTTTCCCAATGCACTTGCATTCTTTATAAAAAGGTCACACTCCATACTGAGTATATTCTTGGCTTGCTGTTTTGCTTGCTAAATATTGGTTGCATTCGTTATCATGATGCTACACATTCCCAGGACAGTCCTTTTGGGAGCCTGTGGTACTCTATTATGACCATCATAGTGTACACGGTGGGTGGACCAGAGAACATCATGTTGGATCTCGACAATGACTGGAGCGAGGACCATTTCCTGTTCCCGGTGGCCTCCTACCTTCTCTGGATCATCTTCATTGTGGCCATGAGTGTCCTCTTCCTCAATCTCCTGGTATGGCACTGGCGTGGTAGTGTACCTACACAGTAAAATTCAGTGTAGCCCTTGTTTTATTAAGGTGATTTTGGCACTGGTACACATTCGTTGATAGTTGAGCTGGAGCTGGAAGCTGTCGCTCGTTGATAGTTGATGGAATATTGGCTCTTATTTCTTATCCAGGCCTGTGTATGCATGATGAAATGTACATTAAGGAGTGTCTGCATTGTAAACAATCTTTTGTGTCTCATCCGTGTATTGTCTCGGTTTAGTTAAAAGTACCTGCATAAAATAGTAGTTAGACGGCGAGCCATAGGAAACTACGTGGGTTTAAGAGACCGAGGCCCTGGAACGCTACTACAGGGCCCAAGGCTTCCTAAATTGCATGGTTTTCATGACTTGTCATGTGACTATTTTAGAGTGTGGTGCACGCAAAACATGAGAAAATGTTCCAAAGGCACTGGGGGTGAATACTATCCAATAGCGTTCCTCTGTAGTATTCCTCATTCTATTCAGTGTTCCTCCTCATCCTACAGAGGAACTACGTCGACTAGCTTTCTCCTAGTTGAGCAATCAGATTGGAGTATTTCAAACGGCCGTACTCTAATGCACTATAGTGTAATCTGGTATGTAGTGTAAGTGGGTGCTTTGACTAGTTACTATATAATATTGTATATAGTGTGCATGTAGAATGTTTCAAGGCAGGCTAAAAGATGGCAGTATTAATGTGATGAAGTATTATATGTTTCAGACTGGTCTGGCTGTCGGAGATGTGCAGGAGATCAGAGACAATGCTACTGTGGAACAACTGGCCAAAAGAGTGAGCAAAAGACATAAATTAGCTCCTAAAATGTAGGGAATGTACATAAGTTATTGAAAACATTTATGCTGACTCCAATAAAACGTTTGAAGCATTCACTGTACACATTATAAGCCATAAAGAATAAAGATAAAGCCTTCCTATTGAAATGACAATGCACCGTTACTCACGTTTTAAGGGGCTCAATTTCCAGGTGTCAGTAGCAAAGTGAAGAACAAATTTCTCATGCACAGTTTAATCACTTCGCATGCTAGAGATTCCTTGAAGACTTTATGAACTAAGCACCACTGTGGTGTAGGTAAAGCTACTCCTGGACTGGGAGCAGACGTACATCAACTACCGTAGTCTGGAGCTGCCGGGCATGGTGTCTCCCAGTGGGGCCCGGGGTCAAACTGGAGGCAGCCAGCTGTGGAGGTGGCTAGTGGACACTGTCTTCACCCTGGAGGAGGACCTCTACAACCTCTCCACTGTCAAGAAACTCCTCTTCCCGGAGGAGGTCTGCCACTCTTAATATCTTGCCAGGTTTATGAAGAGTTGACCCCCTAGCAGCTGAATTGCCCTGGTAGCTCAGCTGGTGAGCACAGTCATATATATACTGTGGGTTCGAATTCTGCCCAAGGCAGCTCTTGGAAGAAAGCTGTCCTGCCTCGTTATTGACCCGTATTTATGTCCTGTATGAGTTTTTGCTGGTAATCTGTCCATGATAGAGATTTGGTTAGGTGAAATTATTAAGGCTCCACAACTGCCTTCTCCTATAATACCACTAATCTCACGAACGCTGCAGGACACAGATGATAAGATCAACTGGCTGCGTGGCACGGTGCTCCAGCTGCAGCAGCGCAGTGGGGAGCAGGAGAGGAGTGTGAGGGAGGGACTGCAGGAGGTTGTGGGGAAACTGGGCCGACTTCTGGAGACCTCAGAGCAGCTGTCTCTAAGACAGGAAGCTATTGATGATGCTCTCAAAGATTTACAGAGGAAATCATAACTTTTTGTGCAAACAGCAGCTTATAAGTAGGTGCTAGACTTTTTTGTACATGTTAATCCTCATAACCAAGTTTGTAAAACGGGCAGCCAAAGTTCATTACACTTGGGACTCCATGTATTCTGCCGGGGTGCGACAGGGTCCATTTGTAGTATACTTCGTACCGTATGTGTGCGCATTCACAGGAGAGAGAGGGCAGAGCGGTGTGGTTAGGTAGCGAAGGGGGTGTTGAACATAGACAACCCAGAGATCGTGAACTAGATCTTTGGTGAAAACTAAGAGTCAGAGTTGGGTATATCTTATGCAGCCTCATCATCACCCAGCTGGAGATGGACCTCGTGTTTTCCTAGATCATATAGGGCTCTAGGCATCAAGACTCAACCAAGACTACTACCCTCCTATTATTTCCTATGCCACCACGCATCCCCATCCCTCCCTATACTCCCTGTATTATATATACTATACAACGGAAGAGCCATGCCAGCACGCGATAGCCCACATAACGCATGCGCAATTTTAAGGGGATTTCCCCCCAAGAGAACCTCCGCCCTCTGAAGCGAAGGGGACGAGACTTGTAAACAACCACGTCTGAAGTGAAGGTAAGCGAAGCGATTGAGGTGTAATGTAGTTTGAAGGATACTAGGGGAATGTTGAACATTGTTGGCGAGCGGGAGCGACCCAATAGGGGCAGGGCTGAGTACATGAGCCTGTGTTGTCAGCCTTGATTAGAAAATTGTCGAAAGAAATGTACGTTAGGTATGCAGAAGGTTGCACATTCTGAGAAAGGTCAATTTGTTCGGTCCTGGCACACGTAGTGCCGCAATAGTAGCGCGCCTCGCTTTGTTTGAGTTGCAGAAACCAACTACCTCGCTTTCGGCTGTGCGACGACTCCCTCGCGTTTAGCGGTAGCGCGAGTTTTCCCGGTGTCTGGTGGTCTGGTGGTCTGGTGTAGAGCTTTGCCTGCTCGGCTGCGGTGTAGTAGTCTCAGCATCCAGAACTGTGTACATGACATGTATGACAATTTTGGGAAATTTCAACCCCTGTGGCGCGTATTTAGAACTACGTAAAGCCATTACGGTAGTGACCGTATAGCATGGACGTTCTCGCTGAGAATGCATGCGGAAGTAATAATGAGGAGGGCGGTAATATTCTCGCCGTGTATGCGTATAAATGAAATGTATGGGATTATGCATAACGTGCGTAGTGAAAACGTACTTCAGGTTGGCTTGCTCCTGCCCGCTCGCCAATTAAAGCGAGAAGGAGGGTGTGGATGTGGATGATTCAGACGTGTTGATTAGCCTGCGAGCTGAGTCTCTTTTTCCTCCAGCGTTTCCCCTATGCATACACAAATACACCTCTATGCGCTCTGCCTTTGTTACCAAACTACATTGTACAGGCATGGCTCATGTTAATTTATGTTGGCCCCTTGCTTGGGTATGTATAACTTATAAAGAAGCCATCTGTGTAGCATACATTACTCTATGGTGGCACATGATACTATGTGTTTTACAGGTACATTTATGGCTAGTACCTACCAGTCATCCTATGCACCTAGCACCAGCCAACATGGCAGCACTTACTACACTCAAAGCCATCATCACCAGCCGTCGACAACCAGACTCGAACTACCTCGTAGCATCTCCACCACCAACCTGCAGATGACCAAACAGTGCCAAGACTACGTTAGAAATGACCTCTGCTCCACCTTCCCTGGCGGGGGGACCTGCTTTTTCATGCATCTTCCAGGCTACACCTTCACCATCCCCCACCTGGCCGAGTATCCTCCCGACTTCCGCCAGTTTGTGTTTGACCGCATCATCGACCAGGCGGCCAAGAGGTCCCTCGAGGAGGAGAACTGCCTCAACTGGTTCCCACAGGCCACTAAACTGCAGCCTCTCAACACCACGGGAGACGGAAACTGCCTCCTGCATGCCGCCTCGCTAGGGATGTGGGGCTTTCAGGACCGGGACCACTTTCTCAGGAATGCAGTGTCTCAGGCCGTGCAACATGCGGCACAGAAGACTAACACATTTTACATGAGGTGGGAGCACAACAAAAATCTGGAGTGCCAGGAGCAAGGCTACCAGCTGGAGCCGTATCAATGGCAGAGGGAGTGGGAGACTGTCGTGAGGCATGCATCCCCTGATCCCACCCCAACTGCCACTCTGTACAGCCTCGAGGAGTTCCACGTGTTTGTCCTGGCCAACGTGTTACGGCGACCGGTCATCATGTACGCCTCCCAAAAGATGCGGTCTTTCAACTCTGGAGGTACTATGCAGACCATCAACTTTCACGGTGTGTATCTCCCTCTTCTCTGGGCTTCCAATTGCTGCAAGAAAGACCCTCTCCCACTGAGCTACCAGGGTGGCCACTTTTCTGCTCTGGTGGTTATCGACTCCTCCCAACAGTATCGCGACGGGAAACTTGTCCTCCCTCTGGTCGATTTCAATGGTTACAGCCTTCCTGTGCGATTCACGCTCGCAGGTGAAAATCCACAAGAGCTTTTGAATGACTACCTTTCGCTAGTTGACATTCCTGATACTCAATCCAAAAGAATGGTTCCTTGTGCTACAGTCAGTGTCAACACCAAGCCAACATACTACGAGCGCCTGGTCGGGGCTTTCATCGATGCCTGCCACACGGTCCACTTCGCACAGCAACCACAACAGCAGGCGCAACATAGTCAAAGTGAGAGTTACAGTGGTGGAAGTGGGGTGGTAGTTCGGGATGGGAGATACGCATCAGCTGTGACAGCCCCAGTCGAGACGTCCTACTCTACAGTGGCCAGGCAGCCAACACAAGCTTCACAGGGAGGTGAACAGAGTGGCAAACTCAAGTGCATCAACAACTGTGGGATGTACGGCGATCCAGAAACAGCAGGGCTCTGCACAAAATGCCACGAGAAAACTCTAGCCGCAGTCCTCCAGCAAGAGTCACCCACCTCCCAGGCTCGTCGTCAGAGCGCCACTGACTCTGGGGCCACAGGCATGTCTGGCCCTACATCCATCAAGTGTCCTAACTGCTCCCAGCCCGGCCACCCAAAGTACCTAGGCATGTGTGAGAACTGCTATCACGGCAGCCAGCAGAACCAGCCACAGTATGGGAACCAGCCAGCCCAGCCTCAGTATGGGAATCAGACTCAGCCCCAGCCTCAGTATGGGAATGAGACTCATCACAAACCCCAGTATGGGAATCAGACTCAGCCTCAGTATGGGAATCGGTTCCAGCCATTGTATGGGAATGAACCTGGTGGCCAGCCTCAGTATGGCAACCAGGGACCTCAAGACAACACGTATGAGACTCTTGATAGCTACCAGCAGAAGCCGGCCATCCCTCCCCGACAGGGAGAGCAATCCACCCCTCCCGTTCCCCTTCCCCGTTCAACTGCCTCACCCGAGGAAAGAAACAAGTGCAGAACGTCAAACTGCGAGTTCTTTGGGACAGCAGTGACACGCTTCTACTGCTCAAAGTGCTTCAACGAGAACATGGACGCCATATTCAGAGAGACCGAGAGGTCTGGGGTCCCAATGCCAGCTCCAGCCGAGAACCATCTATATGATCAGACTTACGCTACTCCATACCACGGCCAGCTAGCTTCATCCGCCCACACCTCTCCTTACCATGGCCAGCATGCTGCACCACCTCCAGCTGAAGAGCAGGGTAAGTGTACCTTGTGTCACGATTACTACGGGAGCCCAGAGTATGGAGGCCTCTGCCACGGTTGTCACAAGACGACAAAGGACACCAACAACAGCCCGGACAGGAAATGCCTAAGCTGCCACGAGTACTATGGTTCTGAAGAGTATGGAGGACTATGCAATGGTTGCTTTCTGAGACGCACAGAGCATGAGACACGTGCCCCAGCCTACCAACAGCCTGAAAAAGACACATTTTCCTCAGCAGACCTTCCTCCAGCTGACTTCTCCTACTTTGACTACCAGCAACCGCTTTCTCCCAAGCCAGGCAACCAGCCACCGCAACCAGAACACCTTGCTGCTTCTCAAGTGCCCCAGCCTTACTTACAACCTGTGTATAAGCCGATGACAGAACCTCAACCAGGCGGTGTGGCTCATTCTCAGGCCTCAGTAACATCCAGGCCAGTTCCTAAGCCCCGTTCTCGTTCAGCAGTAACTACCACATATGCTCCAACCAACACCGCTCCTGTTGTTACGGCGTCAGACATGACAAGTGCGATGGCGGGAATGAATATTTCAAGCACAAACCGAAATCCCCCAATAATGAGCTGTTTTATGTGTATGGGAGTGACTCCAGATTCTAGTGCACCTTCTGCTCTCTGTCCTCAGCATGCCGAGTTTGTGACAAAGCTGCAGGTCGGACTAGCACCATCATCCCAAGTAAGTACTGGTGGACACCAGACACAGCTTTATCAGACACCGTTAAATGCGGGCCAGTCTCCGGGGAATCGTGATATGGTACCCAATTCATCATCGCAGTACTGGGCACAATCACATTCGCAATCAATCGCTTCGTCCGCTCGACCACAGCCCTACGAGACACAATACAACATGCCTCGCTCTACCAGCCCTGTGCCACAGAGCTCAGGGGGTGCCATGGCTCACCTTCAACCAGCCAGTCAGTACGACACGGAAACAGTGAAGTCCAAGCCACCCGCCTCTCCCCAGCATGGGGTAGGATATTTACAGCCATACTACTCGTCTCAGGGTGCAGCACACTTTGATCAACCAACCCCCAGTCAGTACCCTGTAGCTGGCACTCACAATGTCCACCAGACTGGGTCCACAGTAGGTGGAGGTGGAGCCACGTTCAATAACCTCAGCACAAACACCAGTGGGAGTGGGGTGTTGGCCAACCGCCATCAGGAAGAGATGGGAGCTGCAGGGGTTGGGATGCAGTTGAGGCAGGCTCAGGGTGCCACTGGGTCAGGGGCAGGGGTTATCATGGGAGGAGGGGACGCCATTGGAATTCAGGCCGGGTTACGTGGAGCTGCTGATGAGGCTACTGCACCAGCCGTGAAAGTACTATGCAAGACAGCTGGCTGTTCCTTCTATGCCAAACCAGAGTTGGAGAACCTGTGTACCAATTGTTATGATGACTATTATTACGACGATAAAAAACCAGACAACTAGCTACATATTATGTGTATGTCTGTAGCAGGTCATGTGTGAATGTGTGTGATGCTGTTTCTATTTTCGCTGCAATGATGTAATGCATACGGCTTGTACATTCTTTAAAACCCTTTGGACACCATGGGTATCTTCTTAAATAAGCAGATCTATGTATAAAGTATTACCGCCTAATGTATAATTATGACCCAATCTAAAATCTTATGGACGTAGACATATTTATGTGCAGTCCGCGGCTTTAACCCTTTGGACGCCATGGGTATCTCCTTAATAAACAGAAATCGATCTATAACATAGTATTATAGCCTAGTATTATAGCCATAAATAAATTCTTATGGAGGCTCTGGCATAATTATTATATAATAGATGCCTGTGGCTGGCTAAGGGTTAAGTGTTAAAGTGAAGGCCCGTGTTTTGTGGACACACTCTGATTCATACAGTGTTGATTGTCATATTGGACTGAATGGGTGGAAGGGGCAACCCTGGAGGCCGGTGTGGCGACACTCCTGGAAACTTCTGATAGTGGGTTGGACTTTGGCAACAGCAGCTCCTGACCTCGCAGTCTCTTAGATCGGTGTTGAGGGAGGAGTGAAGTGGTAGCCAGGCACAGTATAGCGGGTCATCAGTCACAGTCAGTCACTTTTGAATATTCATGTACCACACAGTGTATATATGCTAAGGCCAGTGTTCATGTTATGGTACGCCAAAATTGTACATATTATAATATTATCATTACCCTGGCGCATCCTGCCTATTTCATTCATAGAGATATATAGAAGTTGTCAGGAAAGTTTTGCCCTGCATTATACCCACCAGATGAAGGGAAAGGTTTTGTATAAAGATGACACTGCTATATACTTGTGCTAGAGCTAGGCTTAAAACATTGCTCCAACTTCCACCCTATATACAACTTCATACCACACAGGGAGACCTGGCACAGATGATAATTATTTCTAAAACTGAAAGATACCAAGACATGCAGCCAGCCTTCACTACTCCTATGATCCTATGATAAACCTTTACCATCTTCATAACGGCTCTCTCAAACATTGGTTATATAACACAACTATAGCATTAAGCACACAAAAATATTATTATTATTATGTATGTGCCATGCCCAAATTAAAATCAGTTATTTGCACCAGGGAGAAAGCTACAGTGGAGTCTCTGTCCAAATTTGATCAATCACCGCTTCGTTGTTGCCTGCATAAAGCAAAATGGATGTAGCTATTAGTTAGCATACTTAATTTCTATATAGATAGCAGCGATACATTAGTAAGGGCCACTGTCAGATATCAGAATGTGATCATGATCCATCCTCACCTGACAAGTATTCGTTCTCAAGTTCCACTGCTAACCTTGAGGTAGCTGTCACTACTACACCTGCACCAGATGAGGATATAGGAGCCAGGTTATTGTAGAGGAGAACGAGTAAAAGAAGCAGAACCAGCGCACAGCCAGCAGTGATGCCCATAGCAAAGTACATATGTCTACCACTTGCATCATAGCTCCTCACAACTGTAAACGAAATGTATGCGTGAGGTTAAAGATTATTATTATGCAGCTGTAGGTCATACAAAAGGTCAGCAAAATGCACTATTATTCTTACACCAAATTGGGGAGACCGCTCTGCTGAACGCACCCGCCCCCACTAACAGACTCAGTATTGTACCCTGGAGTTCAGGTCAGAATAAGTATTACAATGAAACCTAAACTTCATTCACCAGTCCATCCGTGAGCAAGCAATAATTTCACTGTAAAATACCTGTGATTCCAGTGGTGTTATCTCAGACGCTACTGCAGAGGTAAAAACAAATCCAAGAGGAGCTGCTATTGACAGAAGCAGTACTCCCGAAGAAAACTGGTAGAAATTGAGTGTGGCTTGTCTGCTCAGGCAAGCAGGGAGACACGTGTTACAGAAATCTCCAGTTACGCGAGACTGCTGGTTCCAAAAGCAACTGTTGTCATCTGTACCCAGGGATTCACAGGTGTCAACATATCGCTCATTGAAACTTAAATATTGTATGGAGATATTGGAACAGTTCAGAGCAAGATTGTCTTCGTCTCCCAGTGGAGATAGACCGCTCGTAATTTCCAGTGACAAGTTGTTTGAGCAGTCAGTGGTGACAGGCATTTGGCAAGGGTTTCCATGGGCAGTGGACTGCCAATCCCCCACCAGTAAAGCTCCAAGCAGAGTTAATACAAGGCACACTCCCAGCAGAATTCTGTTATCAACCCTCGCAAACTTAGCTCCTAAACTGAAAAATGCAGCACGCAAACAAACACCATGAAAATGAAAAGCACTTGAAAGTGCATAACCCTCGCCCCTGGTGATTATGGAGTTCAGATAGTAGTTTGTTAGAGCCTACATTCAGCAGCCAATGGTTATACCTCAGTGACTCCTTCACTGAACAGATTCGCTCCCTGGCTCTCACTTCACCGGCAATCTCGCTCCTACTCAACTGTACCATCAATACTGGTAGACCAGCAAATCTTCTCCACACGCGCAAAGCATCTAGCATCTAAGTACAGCGATCATCCGCGACTCTCTATTTGACTCACACTCACCTCAGCAGCCGTCCGTTCCCCGGCCTTCTCCGCTCCAGAATCTTATTTTACCATGCATGCCTCCTATTTGATAATATGTCCACGTTTCATGCTCAGAGTTGCCGCGGTTACGAGAAAAACGGTGGACAGACGGACGGACGGACACACGCACACAGACAGACAGACCGACTGCAATAACCCTCGCTGCGCATGCGCGCAGGCGAGTGTTAACAGCATGTGGGTGAAAGTTTTCGTATATACATACTAAGGCATGCCCTTCTATGTTTCTAATTGGTAAGTAGGTGCAAGCCAACCTAGTCAGTAGAGAGACAGTTGGCTTTTCCCCACAGAGTGCCACAAATGCTTATAGTGTTAAGCTGCTACTTGTGAAAAAAAGTTGCAAACTGTCCATCATGAACATGTGTGTTGATTACATTATACTATTGACTTACTGTATAAAGCTGCTACTCAGAAAACCAGCAGAAACACCAAGCAAGAATAGTGAAGAGTATTCCACAGTGAAACCAAAATTGTTGTCCAGAACTGGTGGGACTAGAGTTAGCAGAATAGCATACACCTTTCCTGCAATATACCCACATCCAATCACAAATATGTAGGTCTTGCAGGGAGAATGGGTTAAGAAAAATTGATTTCATGTTGCAGAACAAAATCATTTAGTTTTTATTACAACTTCCTTGGCCACCTGATTGGGGAATGTTTATTAGAGGATGGTTTGGACATGACCACATGCAGATGAGTCAAGAGGAAGCCAACCTCTATAATTTCTTACCACTATATATACTGCAGTTCCACTATTTCTCTACTATTTTATTGGCTAGTATTTTTTTCATTGCCAGTACTTCACCACTACCTCACTTTGTTCTTGGGAGAATAATGTTTGAACTGAGGAATTCACCTTCCTTCCAGAACGCAATATAACCCCAAGTAGATCAGAGGCTTCAAAGGGGGAGTAAACAGACAATCAGATTTTTATCACTGGTAACAACTGAGGTCCTTGATGAAACAATAAAGCACTAAAGTGCAAACCCTCGGCGACTACGCATGCGCGGTACCGCTAATTGATGGGCTGGGCTATTTGTAGTATATACGCGTTTACTCGTGGTCTCCCGCTAGAGTAGTCTGACACGGGCTAGCCACAGTAGTACTCACTGTAGATAGCATGCGGGAGTCGATACACGCCCTTCGTTGTGACTTCTTGTGCCTCCAAGGTACACAGAGCAAGCGGACCCGGTCGAGGTAAGCCTGTGCTAATTTGCATATTGGCTTGTTCACTTGGTTTTCATGCCATAACTTCTGAACGCGGCACTTTTACAAAAAATCGCCATTTTTAAAATGAAGCGGGTGTAGCGCTGAACCCGTTTGTGTCGCTATTTTACCTGTTTGTCGCTGTGGACGGACGGACAGCCAGACGGACAGACCAAGTACTGTAACCCTCGCTGCGCATGCGCGCCTAGGGTTAACAATCACAAAGCTTACATGAATACTGTACATACATATTTCTGGGTATGCGCCACAATGAGATAATGTGTGTGCCTTTGACCCCCCCCTTGCTTCCCCTCCGTTCATTGCTGCAAGTACCAAAAAATTTGGAGAATCAAACACAGCGCACATCATTGGGATACACACACAATGAAATGTGTAGCTACAATCAACATTGTTCCGTTATTCAGCTGCACTACTCTACATGCCTTATCTATGCATGTGATGTTGACAACACACAAAAAGGACCTTCATGTAACATGGTACCTGGTGCGCTGGAGAAAAGGCAGCGTTTTAAAATGCCTAGTTATATACCATGCCAGCATAAGTTGATGTGTGAAAAACTAACTGAGACAATTCCATGCCACAAAAAACAGTCATGACAAGAACGAAAAAGTCTTGTTGCACAGGAGATGTAGTAAGCAGTGTTTTTATAACCATACAAAAAGATGGCTATTCAGTAACAAAACAGAATGGTGAAAAGAGTGCTCAGAGCAGCAATGACTGCAACCTACTATACATTATAACTAGTAGAATGTTAAACATTGTTGGCGAGCAGGAGCAACCCAACTGGGATAGAAGAAACTGTGCTGTCAGCCTGGTGTAGAAAGCGGTCCAAACAATAGACCTTATGGTAAGATGGTTGCACATGTTGAGAAAGGTGAATGTGTTCTGTCCTAGTGCCGGCCAGTAGCAGTGGTTGAGCATCTGGACGATTGGGTTGACATTGACCTATCGCAACCTTGTACTTAGCATAAAGTATATTCTCGGACCATTTTCTAAACCGGGTTGACAACACAGGTCTTGTAGCCCTGTCCCAGTTGGGTCTCGGGTGTGCTTGTAAATTTCAATGTCACCTTGTACTGCGTTAGATTTGCACAGGATGGTGGGCACTACGCTAATATACGAGGGGTGATTGGGAGGTAATTACTCAGCACCAGATCTGGTGATTTTAGCGTCGATGTCGACAACAACAGACATACAGACCGACCACATAACCCCTTGTGCGCATGCAGGCGCAGTGTATTTTAAAAATAGTAGGATGCGAGGCTAGGTGCCCCCACCTCTTACAATTGTAGCCTAGTCTACCAGCCCCTCAACATTATGGGAGCTGTGTTCAGTGAGAAGTAGAGCGACTGGCTCTTTGGGGTTGTTGGTCTAGTGCAGCTTCCTTGTTACAAGCTGTAGCTATAATACTTACTTCCTACACATGTTAGAAGGAACTTAAAAGCCATTAACTGCTGACAACCGTTAGTATGCACGAATAATGGCAATAAGGAGGATACCATGAGTCGTATCTTGGCCCTACTCTTTAGTTGGGTTGACAACTTAAGTCCTGAACAACTTTTTCTTGTGATTGTCGGTCGGGGGAAAGAGCGGGTTTCTCTAAAGCACAGCAGTACCACCGTCCCCAGAACAGCAGCCAGGGCTGTCACAGACCACCCAGGCCACCGATAAGGGTTGACGTCTTGGAATGTCGACATGACTGATGTAACAACTGTATGAAACAGGGAAGGATTCACACTTTATGCAATGTGAGATGAGGATGTTCTGGCATTTAGCATGATGTTAACAGGAGACTGTTGTTGAACTATGCATCACCACTTGAAAACATGCATGTGAAGCCCTATTACACAATCCTCTGCAGGTTAATCTTGTATCAATCAAAATACCATAGCCCCTTTACACCTCAAGTCAGGGCCAAATTACATACCATAAGGCACAACAAATCCTCCATTCAGCACAAATGAGTATATGATGTAGAGTATCAACTTCCTTGGTTTTCTCTCCAGCTTTTGTCTGATATCGTCCATCATAGTCCCCATTTCTCCAATGTACGTGTGGATTGTTGCTGCCCCGAACTGGACACCTGCCCCCATTAGTCCACGTCCTAGAAATGCAACCCACACGTGCTCTGCAAGGGCATACATCCCTCCGCCCACACCAGCCAGGGCCACAAAGGCAAAGAGCAAACAAGAGAATGGCAACCGGTATGCCAGTGGCACTGTCACCAACACTGCACCAGTTTCAAAGAGTGGCTGGGCTGCTTGAACCAAGGCATAGTCTGTGTCTGTACCCCCCAGACCAGGCCAATACCGGTTTGTATCCTGTTCGAGCAATAAACTTGTAGGAAATGTGTAACTTTTTTACAGAATACAAACCTTTTCGTTCCTTAGGTTTTCAGGTAAAGTGCGTGGGAGATGTGACGTATTGATACACCGACGGACTCATCACTGAGAATATGGTGCTGATTAGAAGCTGAAAAGATAAGATTATCGCCCAGTTCTTGTGGGGGAACCGCTCTTCCAAGCTCGATTTGGCTGGGGACAAATGTACGCAGAAATTCTGTATAATAATTATAGCTACACTCGACGCCACGGCGCCAGCAGACTAGCTAGCTAGCTCAACACAACGACACCACCCGGCGGGTATCTACCATTATAGAGCTTGGGCTACGAAGCAATAATGGATCATGCATAGTAGTTCCTACCTCTCCGAAAGAGACACATGTCCTGCGACAACGGCCTTCAGGTTGCAGTATGTTAGCTATACGAGTTGGAGCTGAGTTTCGGTCGGGAAAATTACGTCAGATTGGGCTAAGTGTCTCTGCAACTGCTCAGAGTTCAATTTTTTATGAGTCAGTTGCTTGCCTCCGATGATGACCATCCAACCCTCGTCTACCGACGACTGACGGACCCGCGCGTATATTTATAGCGACTTCCGGCCACAGCCAAAATCACTCGGTTAGCTCTAGCTCTATAACCCGAGGGGGAGAGGGGACAATGACGTAATAGTGACCGAGGCGGAGCCGAGGTCACTATTATTGCTCCCGACCCACGAGGGTTTTCAAACCGAGGAGACGAGTTCAGTGGTCTAACTGGCTTAGAACCGCGGCACGGAGAGCGCAGTTTCGCTTAGTCTTTTCGATAGTGTGCAAGACCCGTTACCCAGTTGGCTCTGCCCGCCAGAATTTAGGCTGGGAAACGGCGTAGGCCCATTTGCTCATAGCTTCGAGACTGCCGCCGAGCAGGACGAGTTCATCATACAAGCATCGCAGCAACTGGACGGATATATCCTGCAAGCCCCGCCGGAGCAAGACACTGCTACTGGAGCGCTCAGCCCGCGTCGCTTGATCTGGACGATTTGTTGTTTGTCGCTAGTCAGGCATTGAAATCAGCTATAGAGTACTGCACACTCCACCGGACACGCACTCTTTATCGGACACAACTCTCGAATTATCGGACTGCCAATGTCTTGTCTACCTCAACTCACTGCAAGGGCACGCGAGTTATATGCCGTAAGTCGTGCCCTTCGGAACTAGTATCCGCGTATTTTTGACCTAAAATGCGCATCGCATATCGAGTTGGAACAGACAAGCGCATGCGCACAATTAAGTGGGCGTATGCTTTGTCACTGTTATGCACAGCTGTACGACGCAGTACTGACGTGTTCGCTGTAGTATTATACGTGTTAGGTTTTCTGAGTACGATAGCGCTGTCTCTTTAGCTTTAAATGTACTGTCCGAACAGGGGGCCATGTTCCGACTGACGGTGGTCGCACAGGAGCGATCTTTGTGCCGCGTAGGCGTTACTGGCCCTCTGCCGATAGCTGGTACCGTGCATGCCAGTCTAGTGACGACCCTCTGAGGTACGAACGTCGCAGCAACTGGACGCTAACTCTGCATGGTCCGAGAAGACACGCACTGGGCTCATGTCCGCGTCGCTGATCTGGGTCGCGATAATTGTTGATGCTACGCTATCAGAACGAACGCTCATGCTCTCCGGGAAACGCCTGACTAGCGACCAACAACAAATCGTCCAAGCGACGCGGGCTGATGAACTCGGCGGCAGTCTCGGATCTACTAGGAGCAAATGGGCCTTCCCACTCTTTGATTATTATGGATTTGACCTTTGTGAAACCTCAGTGATATAAATTCTTCACAGTGATCTAACTTGCAACTTAGAGACTTAGTACTTAGATACCTGGCAGACCCACTACTACGGGTTTTAGACACTTGATTACTAGACTCAACATCAAAGGGAATTATTCATGAGAGGTTCTAAGGACTTGATTACTACTACATTCAACATCAAAGGGAATTATTCATGAGAGGTGCGCGAGCTAACTAATTAAGGCCACGCCCATTCATTCAATCGCCGCCGGGCGGCCCACTCCATTTCCCCGTTCCGTAATTAGTGAAGAGCGCGCGCATCAGTACAGTGTGCCGCGCCACGATCGAGACTACGTCAATTATTGTTCATTATGCGCGCATGTCCGCTACCCCCGCCCCTTCCACATGACCACCACACCGCGCGGGTAATGGAGGAATTCAGTTTTTACTTCAGTTTTGGTTCGAACATGAGTACGTGCCGTATCTCAAAAAACTGCCCCGCTGGTTCTGCCACCGCCGAGTTTGTGGATGCTGCAAGACTGGACAACCACGAGTTGCAGTTCTCCGGACCTGACTGGCCAACGTGGCATGGAGCTGTCGCAAACGTCACACAGACACCGAATGAGAATAAAGTCGTCTGGGGTGTCCTGTGGAAGATATCACCTGAGCACCTGCACCAATTGGATGAGTACGTGTCTTTACCAGCATGATAGCTTTACGTGAGGAAATTATTGCAGGCAGGAAGGGGAGAGCTACAGAAGAATAACAGTAACGGTTATGACGAAGTCGGGATTACAAATTCCCTGCTTCATGTATGTGATGTGTGATGATACTGGAATATCCCTTCCCTCAAAGCCCTATTTAGACACTATGGTATCAGGTGCTACAGAACACCACCTACCTAATGATTATATCAAGTATTTAGAGCAGATGAATCACAATGGATATGATGGAATTGTGATTCCTCCTTGAAACAGCACTAAACCAGTTATTCCTCTATGGTTGTATCTCTGGAACTAAGGTGTCGGTTTCTCATGAATCTGTCAAACATGCAGGCACTTTTTTATTGAACAGTCACCGACAGACCAAAAATAAGTGTATGTTCTTTGTTTATCATGCAGTCTTTCGTCCCTAAATTCAAGAAATTGTATGTTTATTACCATGTAGTTTTTATGTCAAACACCAAGATACTGCAACTTTGTATCATAAAAATTGACTCCTTAGCCCTTAGCAAGGGTATTTTTTTTATTAATGTTGCTAATGTGTGTCCTTGTGACAGCATAAGTAGAGATAGAGAACCTCCTATTAACTGCTAGTGCTGGGACAGTGCTTATGAACGTCTAACCTATAGTGAACGGATAGCATTTCTTCTGGAGGTTTGTTGGCTGTTTCCTGATAACTTAGTGTGCTGAAGCTCCGGACAACACAGAAGAGCGGGACCAGTTTAGCCCTAGTGCATTTGTGATTCTAAAAAGGTGCCAGGCACTTATAGGTGTTGTACATGGTATTGCAAGAAGTGGGGGATTGTGTGGGTATTGATCCTGTGATCATTTTTGCTAACGAGTTTGTAGAAGGTAACTGTCAAGAACCACAAGTAATGGCACATGTGACACCAACATCGAAGAGGTCAAAGCAACGCAAAGGCGAAAAAAGGCTGCCCTAGATTGAACCCATGACACTGCCTATAGGCAACCACTCTACCAGCAGACTTACTGCCTTCAGGGGAACTAAGCAGGTAGGGGTTCAAATCTATATACAACACACAAAACAAAGGCAAAGTACCCTCTGTGGCACAGTACACTCTCGCTAAGCATGTAGGAGCAGACTGGGGTTTAAACCAACGACGCCTAACGACAAGTATCATAAACATCATGGTCAAACGAAAGCACAACTACTCCCTGGACTACGCTTTTCTGCCCTAAGTGGGATTCGATCGGTAAGCCATGTCAGTAATGGTAGGACTACCAGCAGAATGGCTATGCAGACAATGGCATATTTTTGTCTCGTTTGCTCAAAGGAAAGTTGGTATCGTGAGCGATACGATATCTAGTGACTAGAAAGATGTTTATGCTACTGTATCAAAAGTATCACATCTTGTCTGCATCCACACTGTGCACCATGCCGTTCGAGTCTCCCAACATGAATCATTGACAACATCTAAACACACAGGTACGATATTATTATATGCATGAATAGTAACATAATTTTACCGATAATTTGGTGAGTATTGCTCCACTTTCAATTCTTTCACACCAAACAAGTAAGAATATACATTAGACCAATGCCTGATACCCTCGATTGACCAGTGAAATCACAACATTAATTTAATTTTCAATGTTAATTCCTTGAGAGTAGTGAAGCAATTCAACAGAGCTGTGCAGAAGGCTGGCCGCCATTTGCCAACAAACAGATTTGACACTAACTAGTTGACATAATATAGTGGAGCTAACATAATATTATACAGAACCATACTGTGGAGGATGAGACTGTAAAGAGAGTTTTCTTCAGGAGTATGTATCTTGCTAAGCTCAGCCTTTTACATGGGCAAATCAAAGGGAGGCATTGATGCAGTGTTCTGTAATGACAACTACCATCAACCATCTTGCTATCAACTTGGTGAATGTTGGGATTGTATAAAAAGCACCTGTGCATTACTTGTCTCGTTTCCTTAGAAAAGAGTCATTACACGAGGCAGCACACCCATGCTTCGCGGGTTCACAATCAAGCAATGTCAGTTTGAAGTAGGAGCCGTTATCCATTGTATTGCTGCATCACATACACTATGTCATCCCTGTCTTGTCTCCTTGCTTTTTATACCATCTCTATGTTCACAATTTTTCTTGTAGTCTGTTGGTCACAAGTGACCAAACCAGCTTGAAGTGCACCACACTCACACTTACTGCAGGTGGGACAGCTGTAGTTGCTAGCCCTTACAGACTCCGCCAGCACTGACAGAACACCACCAAACCAGACCCACTGGGATAGGAACACAATCTCTGCTTCCTCACAAAACGTTACTATGGAGGGTGTATACAGGACACATTTTTTCTTGATCCAGTGCAGTATAAATGCAAAATAGTCCAAGAGTTATCCTATGATAAATTATGCCTAGCCTTCTTGCTGATAATCACAAATGTGTTGCATTCTGTGCGACACGAAATACTTAATGCCGTGAATTTGGACGTAATGAAGTTGTTCGGGACGATTGTTCAGAGTGGGATAATACACATGTGGCACTACTAGTCTTGCATGTGACAATGCTCATCATCTCCGACTCTGGCTGAGTCTCAAATCTCCATGTATATACATACACTATTAATACGAATGACAACTATAGCTAAGATTACATAATGAATTAAGGATAGTTCGCTTGTCTCACTTTCCGTTTATGTGCCCACAAAAAATGTGAGATCGTTGACACCCTTATATAGGGAAGACAGCCAAATTTGGGCGTGATAGGGATACGTGCAGCGAGATAGATGACATTACCATTCCATACTACAACTTTAGTCAAAGCATTAAGGATAGTTGGTTCGTTTCATTTTCCGTTCATGTGCCTACCAAAAATGCGACATCGTTGACACCATCATTTGGGGGACAGCAAAATTTGGGCAAGATAGGTATTGGTGCAACGAGATAGAAGACATTACATAGTAAGTAAGCAGTCTACATTGACTGTATACGGGTGCTACACACAATGCAGTAGATGTGTTGTGAATGCTTGGTGGGAAGCAATCCGAG